AATGAATCAACTATACACTAATTTTGACTTTCCATTCATTAATAATTTGCTGTCCATTAAAGGAATTCATGTTTTTTTTATACGAGGCTTGTAATTCGATGTATTTAAGCAAATATTTTCTTCGTTTCTTATAAAACCATTTAATCCTTTTCAAATCTTGTCTCATTTTACCGATGATAATTAAATGGAGCTCTGAATTAGGATAACTCTTTTTTCCATGATTTTAAAGTAAGATCAAGTTAACAAAAACGTAATTTTTATTCCAACAGAGTGGAGTAGTCAAAGTTTTCACCGCGGCAGCAGAGTTTTCTTAGAGGATGTCATGAGGCATACCATCTTAAAAACAGTTTTAATAGAGGTGTACAGAAGATCAGGATAACAAGACTGAAAGCCACACTTTACCAAATGCACAGTTCAAGCAATGCCACATTCCCCACATTTAATATACTACATCTTTAACAGATCCTTTCAAATTGTCAAATTACTTAAATGGATTCAATAATTTGCGGAAAGAACACTTTATGTATAAATTTCGCAAATTTCTCGATTTTGCACTAAAAAAGCTGAGGTTAAAAAGCCGAATAATTGAATCTGACTTTATTTAAAGAGGGGTTGGCTACCTTTAAAGCTGACAAAGTATATGCGGCTCAAAAGGTCATGATCTATCAAATTTGAAAAAATCCCATAAATGCCACGGAGGCTAGGAAGGCCAGTATTCTAAGTTGCTACTAAATGACAAAGCGAATGGGTAATTGCACGGCAAATATAAACTGGATGGAGTTAGTTACAAGTACATATGAGCATAAAATGGTCAAACTTACTGTCGAATGTGTGCGAAGTGATTTTTAGTAAATATGGAAGAAATTTTAATTATGTAATTTATTAGAAGAATTTTTCAACACTACCATACTAAAACTACAGTAGAAGTAGTAAAAAACCATTGAGAGACCGAAAAATTTCTCTTGATATTCTCTGTAGCTCGCTACAATGCATATCACTATTTATAGGATTGCATTAAAAAACGTAGATGAAATTGCTCTACTTCATTAGTTTTTTTCACTTCTCCATCCTGTACTCCTTACTGTTCTCTTTGAATCTGCACTCATGTTACTGGGTGTTGGCTGAACCTGACAGATTTGATTCTGACTTGTTTGCTCTACAAATGGGGTCCAATTTGATTTTTGAGTATAATGTGCGCAAAGTATTAGCATAAAAACCGCTGAATAGCGATTTTTTAAAAACTGAATTCATTGATAAATCACTCAAATTTAGGTGCACATCATTGGGCAGAGTCATCTGTTCTTACTAATAATGAAGAATCACTTATAGCTATTAAGGGTCAAGAACAGCCTTCAGGAAAGCTTAAAGTGGTTGATGATTAAACCAGTCATTTACATCCACATCAACGGAGAAAGTCGTGGGGTCCATTAAACAAATGACTGCCACATGCGTTGACTGACAAAAGCAGGCCACAAAAGCCACCCATTTTCTCCTAAATTTTTCCGCCTTGTGCATAGAAAGATATACCATAGGAGTGAGCAAATTTGGTCTTGCTAACGCTATCAGACTTATAAGCAATTTTTTTGAGGAACGAAATTCTGAAGGGGTTTTATGGGGTCATATCAATCGAGTTTGGCGCTTAAAGCGTTCCCAGGATAACCGCAGTGCAAATGGTTCTTCCAATCACACGAAGTCAATTTTTGTTTGAGGTGCTAACCAAACAAGGGAGCATCGCCTTTTATTTATTTTTGCCAAAATAACATCCCAGAGAGACTCCCTTGCTTCCAATGTATGCATAATTGAAATTTGAAAAAAATTCATACAGAATGAGTCGAAAAACTAAAAATGGCGCACAAGAAAAATATCCTTAGATATTTCATGGAAACTACTCATCATACGGTTTTTTATTTGGTACAAAGTAATGAATAACCCACAATGACACGATAGAAGAAAGTGACGTCAATTTTCTTAGTTTAAATGAATTACTTAATCTAGATGATTCTTGAAATGGAACGAATAGTGTCAGTCAGCAGTATGGATTATTTTTAGAAAGGAAACAGAAGTTTGTCAAGCCTGAGTATCACAGGCACAAATAATATTTGAAAGGAGTCGACAAGATTCATAAGGCATTAATGTATCCAACGCTGCCTGTGGCGTTTGGCAATAGTCTTTAATCCGGTGTGTATGAGGTGGTTGTTTAAGATCAGCATCTGATGTGCTTTGCCGACTGGTCAGCGGTGTCTGGTGGTTCTCGTAAGTAGCTGTAAATTATACGAATAAAATTTATGCAACCTGCAGCGCGTTGGCCAATCAGTTTATCGCAATTGCTTGGTAGTTATCAAATCATACATGAACAAGTATGGTTTTGGATAAGTGAACAGGTGAGGCTTATCACATCGTCAACTTTACTGATGAAAGGCATGCGTACACAATATGTGGCGACTCAAACCTGGGCGTGTTTACCATGACCGACAATAAAGACGTTGGAGCGGTTAGGAGGGGTGGATGTACGTAGTAGTGATTAAGGTGTAGTATCTTGGTTGTTTAACTCTTCGTTTTGGTAACGGGCACCTTTGTGTCGTGGCCATTGCACCTTCTTGAGTTGGCTGGCCCCCGGGCCACGTAAGCAGTCTAACTCCTACTGTGCGTTAAATATATATATTCTGCCAGAGTATTGTCTCCCTTTGCCTTCAGGGAAGTCTGGGGCGCTACCTAGGTGATAATTAACTGGTAACGAACCGTGGGTGTTGGGCACAATTTCAAATAAGGTACCTTTTTTGACTAAAATCGTTGCAGCTCTCTCAAGTAGCTTCTATTTGAATGCACAGACTACTATTAGCAGAAATAAAAATATAGGGCGTAGGCTCTACACCTCGTCGAAAGTTCCAGGATTTGCTTAGATTCAAATGAATCCAAAACAAAAATGGTGCAACTCACTAGTTTTAATGTTTTTATGGGTAAATTTAAGATTTAAATTGATATTCTTCATTAGTTTATGGTAATCAAAAAAAGTGTAATTTGACATGTCGCATTATTTTTTTAAGTGCAGCGAAGTCTTTTGCTCTGTCAAAATTGAGTAGCCACCATGTAAAAATAAAATTATTAGAACTTTATTTTACTTTCCCAATTTGACCTATTACCATAGCATTACCTCCGCGTCGACTTCAATTTGAAATGTGTGATCGATATTGGTTCATTGAAAGCGAGGAAGTCAGGAAATTCGAAGGCATTTATAAACTCAAAAAAGAAATCGGCCGCCGTTGGTACCAGCCTATGTAGGGTTATGAGTCCTTTAAGAAGATACCCCTAAAATGTGTCAGATGAACAGGAGAATTATTTCCCTATGATAGGAACTATTTGTCGTGCCAATGTTATTGATAAATAGCTATAAATGCCAAATTTTGGCTTTTATTGCTGAGGTTTGACAAAAAATTATGTCTTAAACGTAGTTTAAGATATAATAAGTGACATTAATTTCGAGCGAAATTTTTAATGCTTTAAGTCAGCTGGAGAGTTTCCTGATTGTGCATCTGGCCATGCTTCACATTTGTCGTTATTAGAAACAGATGATAGCCATATTCGTTTTATGCCCCTATGCAATATTTACAACCTCATTTATGAAAACTCGAGAGGAATTCATTAATTAGAACTAGAAGTATGCGTGTTTTACGAGTTATACATTTAATAAAAAACAATTGCATTAATCATATACAATGTAAGAGCATTTACATCTTTCATTTATGCTCAATAATCAACTATTTGCTTTCTAGTGGGTCAGCGTCCTTCACTTTCCACTGCAGAGATTTAACAAATCTTGAATGGACCGTAAAATCTCTCCAAAAAAAGGTTGACAATATTTTTGTAACATTTCCCTCTATTTAGACTAAGAATTATGTTAAATCTGTCAAACTTGGACACCTATTGCACTTAGAACACAAAAATATTGTTCGGTTAAGGGAGGTCTTCGAAAGTGACGCCTACATTTTTATGGTCTCCGAATATGTCGAAGGAAGACCGTTATTTGAATAGTAATTTATTTGGCCAAATTATCTAATGATGAAAATGTGTTTAAGACGTTTTCGTAAACAAATTAGGAGTGACTTTAATAGTAGGCAGCCACCTATTTTGCAAAGGAATTGCTACAGAATTAGCGTGGATTTACTGCTCTTTTCCAAATGACATTTTAAGTGCGAGCGTAATACGGTTTAAAGTATTTGGTATTGTTTTGATTTTTGTAAACACAAATGCAAGGTTTAAATTTTGCAAGTATTTTTGGAATTTTAGCTTTGCCTGTCTGGAAGAATTGAGCGAAACGCTGATGTCTTCGGCAGTAAAACAGATTAACAGGGGCCTAATGTACTTACATGACTTTGGAATTGCCCACCGAGATCTTAAAGTAGGAGAAAATATTCTTCAAGTTACAGACCACATTTATGGTATTGTATTGTTTCATTAATGCTTTTAGCCAAATAACCTTTTGGTGAAGAAGGTCGGTGAAAATATCATCGTAAAAATTTGTACGTTACTGAATGAATGAATGAATGTTCATATTGCAATAAGAAGTTAATCACAAATATTGCAGTTGTTTAAACACCCGCCATTGTTGCCTGCATGCCTTCTCCAAATGTAATACAAAATTGCAAATTCTGCCTAAAATGGTTATATTCTGCGAGGTCGAGATGAATCTATCCCTTCACCCTTAATTTTCAAATGTCTACTCTTTTTTGCATATGGGCATAAGATTCTCTGAGACTACTGCCAAGAGAAAATGCCAATCACTTAGAACTTGGGAAGTGCAGGGGATAAAGACAAAAGAGTACTTCCCTTCCACCGCGTACAGCCGACTTTTAATACCAGTCACTGATTATGGTTTCCTAAAACATAAGACTATAAATTCTTTAGCACTTTAAGACGATTTTTTAGTAACATTTCTTAAATAAATTATCACTAAAACTTCTGTGTTAATTGAAGCTGATGCTGCCTTCTCAACAGTTATTGGTATGGATATGGAAATGGAATTAGTTAATGGTGATATCACATTCACTGCTCCTGAAATCTTTCTCACTCACAAGCATGGGCCACCGGTAGATATGTGGGCGCTTGGAGTGCTACTGTTTATCATGTAAGTAGAATGATTGTTTTCCGATTTTTAGCAATTTTTTTGTTCTTTATAGACTACATTATCTCCATATCTCACCACTGTTTAAATTTTAAGGTGAAATAAATGAAACTAAAGACTATTTTTATTTCTAGTTAAGAGTCCTGCATTTTGTCTGTTCAAAATCGTGCTTTTCAGTTTGATGAACACAGACTCAATCTGATCTATTTAAAGTGGGCCATAACTTCCTTCATCCACTCTATTGAATCAAGTCAACTAATTTATCATCTAACTAGATTGATTGGTTGACAGGATTAAACCAGACCTTCCTAAATACGGATGCGATTCCCCAGCGAGTAGAAAACAGTTTGGATAGACAATTTGTAAATCTATCCAATCAGTTAATAATGGCGATCGCAAAGTGTGGAATTTGTGTGAATACTGAGTTTGTCTGAACCTTGAAAAAAATTCTAATTGGCGGTTTACCTCCTGCTTACTCAAGCATTACCAGACAAAATGCGAAAACACTACCTTAAACCAAACGATTTCTGGGTGAATAGAAAAATGAATAGACTAACTTGAAATGCAGTAACTCTGCTCACGTAGACGTTTTTCTTTTAATTTTCAACCGTGGACGGCTTTACGATCAGGGTCTCTGGAGTAGAGCCTTTCAAGCGGGAGAACGAGATGGACTCATTTCGAGCCATTCTCAAGGGTGAATTCAGCTTTGATGGAGCAGAGTGGCAGGGCATTAGTATGCATTGCAAAGATCTCATTCGTCGACTTCTTGTCGTGGAACCAGTGATTCGTCTCACTGCCATCCAGACGACGAATCACAAGTGGATTTCAGGAGAGGAAACTGCCGAACACATTCTACCCGAAATTCCCTACCGCTTGGAGAGCTTTAACCAGCGTTGCAAGGAACGGGTAAGTGGAGGAGCAGATCAGTTTTAAGGTCACAAGATTCGAATTTTATGGTCAAATGCTGATGTTACTAATTCGTGTGTAGTTTGAAATGAATATATTCCACTTTTGGTGTATCCGTTTTTAGCTAAAATTTAAGTTTGATTTTTTTCGAAAGAATCATATTTAAAAACTAGAATTGCCTCTTAGATAGGAATTCGCCATTCATCTCATTACAGTCCCATTTATGTTTTGAGGCACTTCTTAATTAAGTAAATGTAAAACTGTAAAAGCAATTTAGGATACTAAAAGACCTCGTAAAGTCAGCTGAAAAGCCCTAAGATGAATGGACATTTATAGAATGGTACTTTTGACACATGATTTTCTAGACTGTCTAAATTGTAAAACCATGGATTTATTAAAGTCCTAAAAGAGTATTTACAACACATGAGAATGCGATGTTTGAATAAGATGTCAGATAATTAGACATTCTTGTTCTGTTCGATGTAGCTCGATACAGTGACTTGATGTAAACTAGAGATTGAACCTGCTGGATGTGATTCGACTTGCCTGCCTTGCATATTAAGGTGAATTTGCTTCCGCGGTTGCGGAAGCATTTGCCACACAAAAGTGTTTTAAAAGACTTGAATCCGGTGGTAAATCGTTTAAATAAATTGGCATCTCATTTTAAAAAGTTCTGCAATCTTAACAATATTAAGGAATTACCTGTAGCTGTTGGGAATCGGGAACGATCCTTGTTAGTGTTCAACATGAGTGAGGATAGAATAATTTGATAGCACCTACATCAGCAGAGGAAGTTTGAGAACACAAGCACACCGACTGTATCTGCTTCCACCATCAGGCGACAATATGAATCCAAGACTATCCAGTTGTGTTTCACTTCTTCACTTCGCCTCATTGAAACACTGAATTTTAGGTTTTTTGGTGACTGGCTGACAGGCTGTCCTGCTACTCTGTTACTTCTTATGCGAACCGACTTTTTTGCTCAAAATTTCTTCACACAAAGGAACACTGCATTGGCTGTCTCCAGATGACCCACTCATCAAACACCCCAGTCCACACTATTAATGTGTAATGCGCTGCTGAAGCCCAATCGGGTAGTGTGGATGAGGTCTCTCTACCAGATACGACGTGATATATCGCTAAATTGTGCAAAGCCAACCTATCTCTTCCATTCTTCCTCTTCCCTTTTTCTTACCCCTGCGATACTGTTAGGACCACTCGATTGGTGAATGAGAAGAAAGTCGTAATCTTGGTCATACAAGACAGCACAATAACTCATGCCTCATACTAAAAACTTGCCCATGGGAAGATTTGCACGCTGGTTAGGCTGGGATGAATGAATGAATAAGATACCATACATTTTTACAAATTCTCACAACGTACAACAAGCCTACCGCACGATCTTCTAATATATCGCAAGCCATAAATAGCAATCTGAAGTACACAACCCAGGCATCGGATTTAGCTAATAAATATGGCTATGCAAAGCTGTAAAACAAAATTTGCGCACCATTCAGCATATAAACCTGATAGGAGATTTGGTGTAAAGATATTTCATTGCCGTAAACAGCACCAGCTTGCATTTGTTTTTTTTTTTAATTTAAGACAACTTAACCGAAGAAATTTTTGAAACTATTTTACAATTATTTGTCAGTCACTCTGATTATGATGGAGCACATTTAAGCGCTTACCCCTTCCCTGGATGAGCCAGTCATCTTGGAGTGATGTCATTTATTAAAAATTTCATTGTGGATTTAGGGATGTAGTTGGTGTAAGCAACACAATATCAGCTGCATCACTTCACTTCAACACTTTTTAAGGAAATTTTGAGAATTCAGACATTTACAGTAAAATGTATCCTTCTGTAACGACAATATGGGGATCAGTTTAAGAAATCAGAATAGTATTTCTTTTGGTCTGGGTTGGTTTCCTGTTGCCGAGAGTTTAGTGGTCTGGACCACGAAGCTATGGGTACGGCCTCCTAACCACGCTGGCAGAATGGAAGCACAAGGTACTGAGAGTGGGGAGCAGGCGCACTTAAATACAACACTTAAACCAAACTATCACAATTACCTACATTCTTCCCCCTAATAATCAACAGTCTTTGAAAATGACGAATTTATATCCATTACTCCTCACACAAATAGTTTTACGTACTAAGAATGCAAAAAATAACAAGAAAGACCAAATTTTTTGCTTTATTAGGCAGAATACTGGAAGTCCGTGAAATCTATGCTTCCAGAAGATCATTTGGAACGACCTTTAGTCAAAGATGCCTCTTGTATTGCCTTGCGAAATTGCGAGAGTGAACACAATGCTACGCTGAACAAACTGCTCTACTGAGGCCCTGGTGAAAAGCTGAAAAAAGCTATTCCCTCTGCCCACCTTTTACTGAAAAAAGTGTTATTGATGCCGCACTTATTCCCTTCATCGTAATGGCTCCCTCTCTGGAAAGGGGTCGGAGGAGAACATAAATTAAATGGAGTCATCCAGACATCCTGGCATTTGGATGAAGTTGGGTGAGAAGGAGATTATGTATGCTACATGATTTGGCGTTCGCTTACAGCAGTCACCTTCAAACATGCGTTCTATCAGGGGAAACTTACTGGCAACTAAGTGGATAATTTTTCTTATAGACTTTCTTTATTACCATTTATTTTCCTTATTTTTTAACAAAAAAAGGCCAATGTGAGGTCCTGTTCGAGCCACTTTACGAAAATGATAAGAAGACTTAGATTTAAAGCTACTTTTCATTTAGGAATGAATCCTCTCCTTGTAACAGAGTCGTCCTAAGACGGTCTGCTCCACTTCTCGAAATTGCGACTGCTCTTATTCGTAAATGGTTGTGTTACTTTCACCTTTCACACAACAAAATTCATATCTTGTACTAGTCCGTCAAAAGATGGATTAGTTATGCTTCTGTCGGCCATTCAAGGTCCGGCAGGTGTTCCAGTGCTGCTATACGAATGCACAGTTGGCCGTTTTTGAATCGTCGACAACATTCAATCTGGCGTTTTGCTACAGCCAAGCTGGTGAGTGGCGCTGTATCTTCTCCAGATACAGCGTCTCAGAGGGAAAGAACTTTGTTTTTTGAATATTGTTAGTTAAAGGTAGGATGCGTACGAACACTTCTACAGTTGTTTCCTGCTGCTTAGATAAGTAGTGTCTGCATTGACCCACCCACAGACTTACCTTTTATCACCGCGCGTAGTGCAACCACTAAACTATTTCTCTCACAAGCATGCCTGTAGAATGATAAAGACCAGGTTTGATTCAAAAAGAGGTCTCAATTCCAAGAAAACGACACATTACCATCCAATTCGCTATCTGTATCCTTGCATAAATATGGTGGGACTTAAGTACACACGTCTATCATCAGGTTACATACGACTGTGAAATCAGTACCAACACCTCACACCACTACTGCTGGGGCTCAGTCGTAGGAAAATGCAATTGCCAGTGTTTTTACAACACCTTAATGAATTATAATTATGAACCCAAGAAATTAGAAAAGCTCGATTAGAATTACAAACAGCAGTCTTCGCAACGACTTTCCATGTGACACTTAAAAACTCCTTAGTTGAAAATCCTCTTAAGCAGAATGCACAGCTCCTATTAATAAGTAACTTCCAATGCATTGCTCAGTAGGTAGAATATGCAATCTTAAATTTTAGTCTTCTACCATCAAAAACGGATTTACCAATTTGTCCCAACGAAACTGGTTGTTGCATCTATCTCATTTGTAATGGGCATTTTGGGAACATCCTATTCATTTATAGACGTTATAACCCAAGGGAGTTGTCTCTTCTTTGGGCACACATGCCAGCATGGGTTGCTAAGCGCTTTTGACAATTTGAACAGCATTTGGATAAATCGGCAAATGTTACTTCAAACCATTTGAATTCCCGGCTTATTAGGTGGGAATGCTTGCATGATGTGATTAGGCACTATTTGCTACTAGCCGCTACTGCCAAAGGCAGTAAACAAGCCCAATGACCACTTATAAGGCACCGGTAAACAATCACTCATGCTGTCAAAAATACAATGTTTATTGGAACAGTGGAAATAAGACGCCAATTCACATGAATACTGCGAAGAAATTCCTTTTTAATACTGTGGTTAGCCATTTAACTGGTTTCGCGGACCTTGGGGGAGGTGTACTTGTCCAAAAGTAGGGGTATTTTTAGATTTTCACGTCATTCCAACTTGGTGTCCACTTCCACCGTTGAATTTTCTGCTATAGAGCACGAGGTAGTTAGAGCTGAAAAAGCTGGACATGGCTTTGACTGAGGAACTTTTCTGCCTAGCCGCTCACAGCAAGCGCATTCCTCTGTAACCTACACTTTCAGAATGTAGGGAGGTAAAATTACTGCTACAACCAACGCAACGTCCTATTTCTTTCCTGAAGTGGTTAAAAGACAACAGGTTGAAGGGCAATTTCCCATTAACACACAGAAGGGTACTGTAGGCATAAACAAGAATTTTTGTGGCATTGAAAGAGAAATAACACAGAAATACTCATTGGTCAACATTTCCGCATACTGTCTCGCCAAGGCTTACCCTCTCGTCCAGTCCTCTAATTGGCCATTATCAAGTAAAAGTGGATTCGAAAGGCGCTGGTAATTGTTATGATGGCAAAGCCGGTCAAAATGCTACAAAGACGAATGAAGAGAACCACCCGTGCCTCCAGTACTCCTGAACGTACACGCCTTTCCCTACAGTTTACTCATATGGACTGGCAGGAGACGCCCGTATTGAATCACAACAAATTAGCCTAAATAATAATTCCAGAGGATCCATGCTCACTTACATAAACAGCAGTTTATAAAAAAAGAAATGCTCGAAGTTAGAAACAAAACGGTAAGAACCCTTAAGGCAGTGAAAATGGGTGTTAATACCTAACTTCGTAAATATTCGTAATTTGTAATGCTATAAAATTGAGCAAATGAGATGAAATGCAAGTAAGGTCTTTGTATACACCATCTGAGCCTGTGTCACCAGTCCCATACAGCGTTATATAGACTAAATTTAATCCCCCCAATGAGAATGTGAATGTTAGGCTAATCGTCGGTTCGGAGCGTACTGTCGGTGGTAGGCAAACCCGATCCACGTAAACAGTCATCTTGGTTTTACTGACTGAAGCCGAAGATGTGAAATGGGAGCGATTGCAGCGTCAGAGTCTCCCCAAAAGTGGCTGAAATGGCGTTAAATTGTCATTAATATCTTCATTTTAATAGCTCTACATAACGACCACTAATAGAGAATAGATTTCGTCAAGTTCAAATCAGCCTTAAAGAAGTGCGTAATCTATGCTCCCAAATGCAGCGGTTGATATGAGAGCCTGAGAATTGTTATTCTTTAACCTTAAGTTGACCCTGATTAAGTGGTTAGCGTTGGGGTCATGTTCACCGTAGAACCCCGTCTAGCCTTTAGTACCATCCCAAGTCAACCCTACCGCTACACAGCCCTCCTTGTACGAAATTCGGCACTCGGAAATCTCAAACAAATTTATGGGCTATACCATATTAGTGGGCGCCCTTGCAATCATGAGGTGAATCCATTAAACCATCTTAGATCCTGACACGACACTCGTTACACCTTTTGGAAGATCTGGTTTAGATGGGCCGAAAAATGATCACGTAAAACACCAAAAATAGCTTCAAAAGGTGAAAAGAGCCGTGGTAAAACTATCTTAATTTAAGTTTATACCAAAGTGTGTAGGTTCTTCAGTGCCTAGAGATTTTACCACCATCTCGGTGTCTTGGCCATCAGCTTGTCTATCTCCCACCTCTCCTGTTTGGTGACAAATAAGCTCGCAAGATGAATAATACGCGAAACCACAAATTCCATCTATGAAGCTACCTTGATAAAGAAAAAATAAATTCCTTGCCTTACATTTAATGAAGCCGTTGATGCAATATCAAAGGGGAATTGAATGGGATAGTAAAATATAAGTGCAACGCGTTGGCTGGTTGTTTAACACTTGGTTTTGGTAAAGGGTCCAATGTGGGTCTCTGCCTTTGTATTTTTGAGGGGTAGACTGGCATCCGGGCCATGCCAGCAGCCCCAAGTTGCACTGTATACCAAATATGTATATTCTGCCCGAGTATTATGCAATCTTTTGTCTTCACGTAATACCCGGGACGCAACACTCAGAATATTGAAATTATTTAGTAAGTAGTTTAATTTTACGGACAATTCAAGCTTAAATTACTTTGCTCCTTGTGATTTCGCCAGAGTAATTGGTAAATTTGGTAAATTTCAATCCACAGAACTTGTCCAATTCTTGTAGCTTTATGCGGGCCAATTTCAAATTTTTTGTGAACAAAGTCGCATATTTAAACAATAGCGGATTAAAAAGAAAATAAAATCTAGGCGGTCTTGATATGTTTAATCAGAGTAGGCCTTTCAACACAGGAAGAACTCAGTAAATCAGATCATAGGCGAAGTAAAAGGCCACCTAGGCTGTGTCATAAATCTGTGATAAATCCGAAAAGATGAATCGCGGACTATGAAAAAGACAATTAACGTGTAGTGAAGCGGAAAATGGAAAAAAATTGTTTTACCAACCATGTCAACAAATGTCTAACATCTTTATTATCAGCAGCTCAGAACTTATATTCATAGTTGTTCCAGTATAGCACTTCCTGTTCCGACTTTGCCTACCTTTTAAACCTGCTCCACTCCACTTTAATGAAATGTCGCATATGTGTGACCCTCAAACCCAGGTTGGAGTATCGGAGCTTCACGCATGTGCGATCCCAGTGACGAATAGCTAAACAATCAGCGTCATTATTAGGATCGCTTCCACCCGTTAACCAACGAGATTAGTCAAAGGTCCTAGTGGGTAACGATGCAAATGTCAAAAGCGCATCAAACTGATGCCAAACGGAAGAAACATGTAAGCAACAAAAGAACGTTGGGGTAAATAAACGTAATTTTTCTTATCATCGGAAGCCTGTACAATAAAGTCGTGCAGGAGCAAATGCACCTACGAACGATAGTAGCAAATCAGCCATTTTATAACTTATAATGAAATGCCATAAAAATGACTCACAAGGAAATTCAACAATCATGAAAATGCTCAGATGGAACTCAACAAGCTCAAATTGTGGAATTGATAAGAAAAGTACAGTAAAAAATGCAGTTTACACACCGCTCTTGGAGTAACTACAGTTCCGCGTCAAAGAATAGAGCATTCAAATCATCATAGCGTTAATACAGGACGCATTGTTTACATCAAAATAAAATGCCAAATTTGAGAATGCGCACAATTTCATCAGCGTTCAAACCAAACGGCGATTCTAGGCGTATAAATAAAAAGAACAAATTTTGGAGAGTAACAATTACTTAACTTTACCCGCATTTATGCTTTTCCCAGGATGCAACTACTATCCGGATTGGCAGTTTAGGTATAAACAATTTTTCCTTATGAATGAACCACCGTAGAACGGTCTGCGCTTCACCTCTTCATTGCCGCGCTAAACATAGAAATTGCAAATTTTCGCGTTTGCCAACGGCTGTGGAGCTCTCACCCTTCACAAAGACATAATGCACAACTTTGCTGCGAGATAGGTCAGTTGTGCGTCTATCAAGCGGACGTTCTTCGCACTGGTTGAATGTTTGTATGAATGGATGACTTGCGGCAGCTGTGACCTAAGAAGGGAGCTGCCAGGAATGAGATCTTTACTGACATGCAAACATTAGCTAGTAAGTCCAGGGCCACCTTATCGACAAGCTTCTTCAATTCCCCTTTACTGGTCAAAGGTAGGAAACTGACATGGTACCCTACAGGTCAGCTTTAACACTAAATAGCTAAGCAAACTAATCACCAAGATTTGGATTATAAACAAAATTAATGCCTCACCAATGCGAAAACGTGGGGAGATCGGTAAACATTATGCCTAATTTATCAACGACCCCACAAGCCTTCAGGTTTTGCGGTAGATAGTGCAGTAGAAGTCATGAATTAAAAATGACCAAATTCTCATAATGATTGAACCTTCATAATCGAACGAAATACAGAGTCCGCCAAAGAGAACAGAAGATGGAATGACGCCCAAATGCCGTCATATTATAGAGCCTCCAGTAAGAAAATAAGTAAATGTTTTCGTTTTCGCTCTTATAGAAAGCCTTTGGCTTAAGCAAAAAGTGGGCAACAGAGATTGATTCACTGGCTATAATCCAACCCTCCAACTTCCCATACACATGGATAAACTACTTCCGATGCGCTATTAATAAAAACAATTGGATAAATAAAGTAAAAAAGAGTACAAAATCACCAAAGTAAGCAGCTTTCCCGCAAGAGTCAAGACAGCTCCCGTTTGTCCATCCAAAATAAAGATAGAGGCAGAAACAGAGGATAGAAAGGCAACTGACTACATTGATGGTAGTTGGATGACATTGGCACCAAAGCTAAAGCGATATAATTTAGCAACATGGACATAAATGCATTCATTTTAATGGCAACAATCAGTTATTCAGGTCTACCGAGCCTAACCTTTGGCGGTTTTTAAGAGTGGAAAAATTACACACCAAAACGATTTAAGATACCTCAGTGTACCATGAATTAAACGAATTGAAATATTGCTAGGTGTCAGAAGGAAGCAAAATCACTCATGTTAAAGCTAAGAAAAGCCTCGGTTCTTCTCAGAAAACAAAATGGGAAGATAGCAGCCGTCTCGGAGATGAGTTAACGGGGCCATTGCATAGCTCACACGTCTGCATTATGCCTTGAAAAGTCTGCTACTTAGACAGAATGAGTGCGCTGCGTTGCTGTGGTTATGATAAGGCAAGGCGTGGTTAAGTAATTTTGATGGTCCATAGTTCAAACAGTCTTGACGAATACCCAAAAGGAAATAACAACGTAGCAACACCCCCCAATGAGGCAATAAACAAGAAAAAGACAACTACTGATAAAATCATTTTTTTAGGCTTAAATAAATTGATACATTGAGAAGGAGGTGTATGGCAGAGGTTCAAAACCACCCGATTCCCAGGACAGAAAAAGTCATCAACTCTGCGCCTCTAATTATTCACATAAAGTTGATAAGTACACGATAACGACAACAACACCTGAAAAACAACAGCACTATAATCCTCAGCTTCAAGCCCAGGAACAAATGCCATAGACGCATCTAGGACATTGTAGAGAAAGAAGAAAGTAGAAAGACACGTAAACATTAGGTTTCAACTAGTAGAGTGGGATGACCCCAACACCCACACCACCCTCATGAGCTATCAGCGGCATTGCGGGTAGCCACTGCCAGTCCGCAAAGACGTTGTCCTCTGGAGTCAACACTTCATTGGGGGAGGAGGGATGCGATGGTGGTGGCGGTGGCTGGGATGGTGGCGAAGTATGCGGACCCAATTCGCCAGGGCTGCTTGTTGATGACTGGAAGGTGAGCAATTCGATCAAACTCTCAGTTGAATCGAGACCCTGCAAAGTTGGAGAGTAATCAAGCTAGTTTTTGACAGTTTTAAGGTATAAACGATTCGAATTTCATCTTTAATCAAAAAGTCAAATTTTTCTGGAGCTATTTAGAACTAGATTGAATTATCAGCCATGCTGCGACCTTAAAAATAGGATACAACGATTTTTAAGGTGTTCACTGCCAGCGTCCCAACGTAGGCGAAATGGCTGCGTTACCAATTTGTGGCAAGTATAGTTACGACAAGCCGTCTCACATACCAGTTGGGTGTACTGCAGCGAAGTAGAAGTAGACCTAAGGATAGATACATTTCGCAGTTCTTTCTGTAGTATTAAAGCAGTGTTGGTCAATTTTCCTCCAAGACTTTCGTAGCTAGTAAGTTAAGATTACTGTAAAATTGTTCGAAACAGGAGAGCAATAATTTAACCGCTCATTTCTTCTGCATCTATCCAATCTCTCACATATAGTAAGGCAACAGAAAATGGATGCATAGCAGTTCTACTGATTAATGATTAAAAGGAATACGGACCAATAGGTAAGCTTAATAAAGCAGAACGATTGGTCTGCACTGCATGAATCTCAAGACGAGGGAATGGAAGAACCGAGGAAAACGTGAAATCTCAAATCCTACATAAATTTGATCAATCGGTTATATTCCTCCACAGAGTGGCTTAACCGCTCGGTGACTCACCGAATGGTCCTGGAAGTTACTCAAGAAGAGACTTCAATTGGATGCTTTCCAGGAGCACAGTAATGAGTAGAATTTAGTCGCACTTTTTGATCTTTAGTAAGCAAACAAACACACAAAGCACAGTCTTCTTAAGAGGAAGTGGTGAGTGTAAGGAGCACTTTTATAAGATAAAGTGAGGAGTAAATCGGTAGTTTTTGAAGCACACCGCCATTTGTTAATGCACGCAAGCGACATCAATTGACTTAACGAGTTGGTCTATTACTCACGTTAACTAATACTGATACAATGCGTCTTTGTGAGTGAGATGGCAAAGTGAATTGTAACCAAAGTGAAATATTGAAACCATTTATTGGCAGTGCAGTCTACTATCGCATCCCACTTGCCATGTCTTCTCCAAATGCTACAGAAGAAATTTGATAGGAGGCTTATACAGCTTTGGGACTGAGTCAACTTATTTCGTAAAGCCGACAAGCTCGATTCAACCACCACATCATGATAAAAGAGTAGACTCAAAATAAGAGGAAAGTGGTGAAGAGTGTAATAGATGGAGGGTTTTGTGCTGGTGGATTGACACATTTCGCCCACGCGCTACAATGTATGCATATAGGCAATAGCCGACATTTTAGGTCCCAAAATGTTAGTATGGCAAGCTATGTTAAATAGGAATATCCACACCAATTCAGGTAACAGGGTTTGTGACTAACAACAACATCATCCTGTTGAATATTGCCGCTTCATACTAAGGACTCGTCACGGACACTCGTTACAAAATGGGTAAATGAAGCTCGAATGTGTTTAATAACTTGATTCTCAACTGATGCATGAAAAAAAGACATTGAATTGCATCCCCTCGTTTAAATTAAAACCGTTGCTAAGGCCAGAAGTTTAGACGTCTAGCGCCGGTGGTTAACGCAACAGTGATAGCGACTACTTCACTAGCTTTTTCCCCTCTTTATCGCCGGTCACTTGCGTTTTTTACCTTTACTGCCGGTGTTTCTCAACGTTACTTACGGATACTGCCATTCCTTCCTCAAATACATATACCTTTGCCAATATTCACTTGTTAGATTATTGCTCTGTCCAACAAAAACATATTCTGCTATTGTAAGATGCAACAAGCCTTCCTACGATTTAATTATGTTGGGAGGAAGTTTTAACACGTTAGATTTTTTCAAAGATCCTGCACCAAAAGTAAAATATCACAACGATTTGTGATAATAAAGGAGGTCCTGAGGACCAAATATAAAAAAATCAGCTCTAAGATTTATGGAATGCGATTGTGTTTTCGGAATATTGGACCAGCAACCAAAACACCTAGTTTTTGAATCCTACCTTTGGGATAAATAAAGTGACTAAATATTAAATAATTCACAAGCTTTAATAATTTCCCTTGAAGAAAAAATTTATCCAATTCTGTAAAGAGAAAAAACTTCCACCATAGTGAACAACTAATTGATGTAGCCTCATAGTAACGAAATGTTATAGGGAGTGAACACATTAAATTTATCCCGTCGAGCAAGTGTGAATGGTCCCTGACTAAAATTTCTGATTCC